TCAAACCTGTCTGTATCTGCAACTTGCTAAGGAAATACTTTTGTATTGACAACCGCCGTCCGGGTGACCGACGAATGCCGCCAGGTGCCAGCATTATATTATCCTTGCAAATTCTTCGCGTCATTATGTTTCCGCTTGGGGTCATACACTTGGCTCAACGTAGATCAACAGCGTGATCTACTTGCATCAGGAAAACCGGTAGAACCGCATTAGCCTAGCGCCATCATGGGGCCATACACTTGGCTCGACGTAGATCAACGGCGTGATCTACTTGCATCAGGAAAACCGGTAGAACCGCATTAGCCTCGCGTCATTATGAGTGATGCCCACCAACAGGAAAGATATGCGCATTACAGCGCATATTCTACGCTAAACATGCATTTTCCCTGCTTGGACGCGGAACGCGGCCGACAACTCCGACAAAAGCGTCATCAATCGCGCTCTGTGAAAGATAGTCTCCAAATTACCAAAGGTGCAAAATGGTGAAAACTTTGCCGCTGACATATTTAGCGTCATGCGTTGGCGTTTCAACTTTTTTTTTAGAAAACCTCTGAGAGGCTTTTTCTGATAAGGGATAAGTAGGAGTTAATTGACCGCACGACCCATCACCAATACTTAGTGTGCATGTAGGTGTGTATGATTAAAATAGTGCTGCTGTAGTGGTTTATTCCACCACGCGAACTAAATGCACTGCCTTTCTATAACAAAGCTCTCACTTTTTCATCTGGGACCCATTTCTTATATCAGCATCATGACACATACACATGAAATTGAAAAACAATGCACTAGCGCTGTAGAACACAGCCGATCACTGGGCATCAACGTATCACACATATTCCAAGTCCACGGTCCCACTCCGCCCTGGAGTACACCCGTTCCATAACTCGAGCTCATTTGTCCCCTCCCCCTCCACCCATCTATCAGCCAACTCATGGAACACAAATTCCTGACCCTATCGATCTAGTGCCCTCTTAAGATGCCTTTCTTGTTCTTGTCTTCATAATTTGATTTGACCTTTGCATTACCTGCTAAATCTAATAATTTTGTCTTAAAGTGTTACGTTATATTATTTGTGTGGGCAATAGGCCGTTCACTTTGGTAGGAACGGCAAGGGAACTTTTTCAGACCAGTCCCCTTATAGGGGTGTCGATAGTGTAGTGGTTATCGTGTCTGCGTTAACCACTGCTCGTCTGGGAAACGCCTGGGAAAAGTGGCAGGTGGCTCGATTCCCCGCGGTGCCGTCCTTCATGCAAGGGTGAGAGGCAGGCGACACTATATTACCTCAGCAGCTGAGTGCGCCCAGAAGTCCCAATGACGCAGGTCATCTTTATAGGTTTCGTTATGATGATTTGTTTTTACGCTATGATCGATCGATTTGCACGCTCATTTTTTTCTTTTTGCTTTGCTTTTGCTCTTGCTCTTCCCATGCTCAAAGACATCCGAATGGGTCATTATCGATTCAGATCCCGGTTTTGCAGACATAACTTTTCCCGACTTGGTGCGCGCAGTCAGCTATCCTGAAGAAAGCCTGCATTCAGACTGCATGACATCAACTGTCATTTATAAACACTGATTCTGAGTTATGCGACTGGTCATATCAACCATAATATTTTCATTTGGGTGTTCTTCAGCTGGTGCACTGGGACTATTGTGAGCTAACAAACGCCAAATAGAATGTGTCTTCAAATCTGTGGCATGCGCGAAACACTAAATTGTTTTTGTTCAGGAGATGCCCACATTAAATCGGTTGCCTTGAGTTGTTCGCCCCGGCAGCTCAGTTGGTTGTCGCACATGCTTTCCGATCCCGCTGCCCCCCTATCCCCCCACCCCACCCCACCTCGCGGCGGGCTGGGTTCTAGCCGTTCCCTATTTGCCCCTGACTGCGATGGCACGCGGCCGGTGACAGCGGCCGCGCTCAAGGTCAGGTGACTCCGCAGAACAGGACGGATGGTGCGGAGCAATACGCCACGTCAAGCTTTCGCCGCGAAATTCTGTCATTGGCCAGAAATTTTGCGATCTCTGATTGTGTCACCAGGGCTCCCGTTACAAGCACTGTCCGTTCAATCAAAAGGTCAGTACTTAATATAAATACAACCCACAAGAACGAATGCACAGTATGGGTTATCGCACAGTCTTAATCGACTTCAGTACTTCTGATCCAGCCCATCTGCATACACCCATAAAAACTTCATTTCCGCTGCCTTCAAGCCACCATACACTCTACACATTACATGGGAACTTGCACTACAGCTTTTGCCGGTCTTTCTTTGCACAAACAACCTAATTCTGCTATTTTCAAGACATGCTTTCACGGAAATTCTACACACGAAAGGGTATATGCCGGTTAGGATACCAGAAATGACTTGAATACCATGAAGCGGCCTCCTAATGTAACCGGTGGTTGGGTCCATATGTTAACTACTACTCCTATTTTCTTACAACTTAGTGCAGCATCAGGAGCAGTACAGAAATATTCGGCGCCGAACCATATTCCAGAGGATTTTACTTCTACCGACTGTGTCGCATCCTCCTTGGATTATGTTCGAAATTTCTACGACTAGGTTAACTAGCATCTCACTTAATGATGGTGCTTGAAATGCATCTCAGACTTTATCTTAACTAGACAGAAGGATATCACTGTAAGTCGATAACTGCTGATAACAGCAATAGACTATTGGCTGTGCTCTCTTTCTCTCTCTCTCTCTTCTCTCTCTCTCTTCTCTCTCTATCTCTCTCTCTCTCTCTCTATCTCTCTCTCTCTCTCTCTCTCTCTCTCTCTCTCTCTCTCTCTCTCTCTCTATCTCTCTCTCTCTCTCTCTCTCTCTCTCTCTCTCTCTCTCCTCTCTACTTATTGCAGCGACGGCCTGTCGGTCGATGTTTTCGCGCAGTACATGCCAGACTGAAACTTTGGTTGTTCTCAAGCGCACCTGTCTGTCCTCGGCACCCAAATGTCCGAACTCCGAACTTAAATTATAGATGTCATTCAGGCAAAGGTTGTGCAGGAGGGGGGGGGGGGGGGGGGGAGCAGAGACGACAAGGGCATGTTTTTGCCCCTCAGAATTTTTGGGAGGTCCCGTTTTCCCAAACTAAAGGCATTTTAGCTACCCGTTGATTGCCAAAAATCAGATCGATAGGGCCGCAGAACTGAGCTGAGCTAGAGAGTATTGAGTCGGGCACAGAAGACCTTGTTCTACATCTCTATAGGCCTGTTTTCTGGATCGGGAGGCCATTCTTATGAATTCTGATGAGCCCGTGCTCTTGAAAATAAGACCCAGTGCTATGTTAAGGCAGCCTGTTCGCTGGCTCCAGAAGCCCCCCCCCCCTTACAATCTAGCAGGCTCAGGATTGCTCTTGGTTCGGAGGCGCTCTCTTTGTTTAGGAGGTTTTGGATCGGAACGCCCTGCTTTGGGATAACGAGCCTCTTTGACGAGATTTGGAGGCCCCCTGTAAATTGGAAGTATCCTGTCAACGCTGGATAATCAGAGGGATCCAATATGGATATTACTTTGGATATGATACACACAACAGTCTCATAAGGAAGTACAGGTCCCTTTGGACACGGCTCTGCCCAGGCGTCTCCCCCCCCCCCCGCCCCCGTGTGGCTGCCCCCGACTCATAATCCTTGGCGCCGCTCCTGCACTTCGGTTGTGTTTTTGGTGGGCACAGTGTCTTGGGTTAGAAACTTACAAGCATCGTCATGCGAGGGCATCGAATTTGACGGCTCATACTCGGCTGCACCCAGACACATGCTGCGTGTTAAGTGTCCTCGCCTCGGATAGTCAATATTTGCGCTGCACTGCTAATATCTGACATCACGCTGGAAACGTTCAGAGGCAATCCACACTGCTTGCAAAAGAAAATGTACTAAGTACAGAGCGGCAGCACAAAAAGGCCGCCATCATTACAGCCGGGCTTTGTTTATCCACGGCAGAAAGAGTGATAACGGAGCCAAACAGCGGTCAGCAAGGAGCGCAGTGTTCCCGAGAGCCCGCCCATGCAATAACACTGACGCAGCTCAGGCGGCACCTCGTCTTGCATAACGAAGGACGATCAAAGGCGCCAGGGTTCACCTCCTAGACGAGACAGCAAACCGTCCAGATGGACTCATGCCAGCTGGTCTCTCCACAATTGTCGGGGGTGTGGGGCACGCCGGCGCCACCCCATGGCGCCAGCAGGGCGGCACGCGACGCGACAGGGCGGCGCGGAGCCGTGTAGATGGCGCCAGCAGCGTGGCACGCGCCGCCCTCCCCGGGCTCTGGTGTTCTCCGTCCTCCGCCCGCCGCAGTCCACCCCCCGCGCCCGTATATATAGTGGTGCCGGCGTCGTAGGTCGGTACTCTTGTGAGCTCGTCTGGTGCGGCTGTGGTGAAAGCTGCTGCGGAGCTGCAGCCGAGCCGAGGAAGCCGAGGAAGATACGTTAGCAAGTGAGCCAATTGGTGGGTTCCTGTGCCTCGCTGGATACATTTTGTGACATGGCTGCGCTCGCGGTTAATTCATCAATGATTTCCATCCTGCCGTTACTAAACCATGCAATATTTTGGCACCGCGGACATTCGACGTGAAATCTTATTAATCTACTAAGTTATTTCGGGCGTGTTTTCGTCGTCCACAGGATGTGAAAGTTATTCGATCGGATGTCCTTTAGCGACATCAATAGAAAGCCTTACAGGGTGTTTTGAAATCTGCCTAAATTAGCGATCGCTCATTGAAAGATGCTTGTCTCAGCAGCTTTGCCGCACCAATGCACCCCACCCAGTCTTCGCCCGTGCTTTGGGTGGGACACGTTGGTCTCCACCCTCCACCCATTAAACACGGACCACTTACCTCGGCCGCACCTTAAGGCGAGGCTCCATCATGTCTGTCTTGACGTTTCGGCTGTACAAAAACATCATGCGAAGTCGACTGTTTGTTCGACCCACCCTGGTTCGATCACGATGCGCATACACAGTCACTCAGCACGCCGTCGCTTTTTAACACGCCCTCCGGCTGTCGTTCCAGCCTCGCTTCTCCCGTTCCGACTACCGCTGCGGCTCGCCGTTGCGGCGCTCGTTCTCTCCGGAACTGCCTCCGTTCCCCGGGGACTGCAGTGAGTTTGGCCGCTTCCGTCACCCGTCCCCGGGCTACGGCGACGATTTCCGGCGCTACTCCGGCCCGCGCTACGACGACTGCTACCCGTTCTCGGCCCGTGACTGCTCGCCGCCGCGCTACGGGGACTACGGCTCGCGCTACGGCAGCTACGGTCCTCGGTTCGGCGACTACGGCTCGCGCTACCGCGACTACACTCACCGCTACCGCGAGTGCTCGCCGCGCCGCGCCGGCGACTACGAGGACTTCTACTGCCGGGACAACGAGGAGTTCGGACGGTTCTCGGAGCGTCGCTCCCGAGGACTGAGCCGGGACCGGTCCCGCTTTAACCGCTCGATCGCCGTCGATACGCTCTCGCCCGGCCGGTGAGAAGGGCGCGATACGGGCCCGCCCTGATGCTGATCGCTGTGACGGGGCGCTGGGGCGCTCTGCTGGCCTCCCGCTCCGCCAAAGGAGCGAGCAGGGTGGAGCAGCCGGCTAGCCTGACCAGGCTTGTGTGGGTTGGCATCACGCTACGGACTGCTGTCTAGATATAGCCAACGGGACGGCTGAGTGTCATGGTGTCGCATATATCTGCTGGCACCTCACCAGCCACGTCACGCGAACACAGGCCACGCTTAGAACTGGAGTACTCCATAATGTTGTGAAAGCTGCTCCCTCGTATCATTCCGTACGGTTTATTTAGGTTTCGGGAATGGTAGCGTGCATGGCGTTGAGTGTTGTCATAACGTCATGCTGCGCCGCAGGTGTGCCGAGTACTCTCCGAGTCGGTACGCTGAGGAGTACCGCCGCCAGCGCCGCGTGCGTCACCGCTCCCTCTCGCCGGTGCCGTACTACGGCTACTCCGCCCTCGACCGCTCTCCTGAGGAGCTGCAGGTTACCGTGCGGTAAGGAGGGCATCCCTGGTCCCGGTCCTCGTAAGGAGGGCATCCCTGGTCCCGGTCCTCGTAAGGAGGGCATCCCTGGTCCCTGGTCCTCGTAAGGAGGGCATCCCTGGTCCCGGTCCTCGTAAGGAGGGCATCCCTGGTCCCGGTCCTCGTAAGGAGGGCATCCCTGGTCCCGGCCCTCGTAAGGAGGGCATCCCTGGTCTCGTAAGGAGGGCATCCCTGGTCCCGGTCCTCGTAAGGAGGGCATCCCTGGTCCCGGCCCTCGTAAGGAGGGCATCCCTGCTCTCGGTCCTCGTAAGGAGGGCATCCCTGGTCTCGGTCCTCGTAAGGAGAGCATCTCTGGTCTCGTCACGACGGGTGCGTCCCACGCCCATTAAATATCCGCGCTAACCTGAACGGCACCCAGCTGGGCAGAACCGCGTTAAGTTGGATGTAACGTTTCATTTTTATTTGTATTGCGTGACTGCCCCTCGGCGGGACATAACGTCACTATGACTTCCCTTTGCGGGACATAACGTCACTATGACTGCCCCTCGGCGGGACATAACGTAAACTATGATGCCCCTCGGGGACATAACGTCACTATGACTTCCTTTGGCGGGCATAACGTAACTAGACTGCCCTCGGTTGGGACATAACGTCACTATGACTGCCGCCCGGCGGGGCATAACGTCACTATGACTTCCCTTTGGCGGGACATAACGTAAAGATGACTGCCCCTCGGTGGGACATAACGTCACTATGACTGCCGCCCGGCGGGGCATAACGTCACTATGACTTCCCTTTGGCGGGACATAACGTCACTATGACTGCCGCTCGGCGGGGCATAACGTCACTATGACTTCCCTTTGGCGGGACATAACGTAACTATGACTGCCCCTCGGTGGGACATAACGTCACTATGACTGCCGCCCGGCGGGGCATAACGTCACTATGACTTCCCTTTGGCGGGACATAACGTAACTATGACTGCCCCTCGGTGGGACATAACGTCACTATGACTGCCGCCCGGCGGGGCATAACGTCACTATGACTTCCCTTTGGCGGGACATAACGTAACTATGACTGCCCCTCGGCGGGACATAACGTAACTATGACTGCCCCTCGGCGGGACATAACGTCACTATGACTTCCCTTTGGCGGGACATAACGTAACTATGACTGCCCCTCGGCGGGACATAACGTAACTATGACTGCCCCTCGGCGGGACATAACGTCACTATGACTGCCGCCCGGCGGGGCATAACGTAACTACGACTGCCCCTTTGGCGGGACATAACGTAACTATGACTGCCCCTCGGCGAGACATAACGTCACTGTTCCTCGCTGATGTTTGATGCACCGTGGACTTTTCGTCAATGAAATGGCGTCGTTAAAAGCAGCCGAGCGCTACCCGCGTTTCCCTGTGTTCGTTTGGTGTCCATTTGACCTCTATTTGCTTCGCCAACGCCATCTGATGTATATTAGCTCACCCCAGGATCCCAATCACACCACCTGAACCCGCTCTTCACCTAAAAAAATAGCCGAACACGACAGATTCTCGATTTCCGTGTGTTCTTGTGCTATCCAGTTGACCTCTATATGCTTCGGCGAACTGTCATCTGGTGTATCTCAACTCACGTCTGAATCCCAATCACACTACCTGAACCCTTCCGTTCATGACCAGACGTATCTTCACACTAGAAATCTGTCAGAATAGCAAGCCTCCTGGAGTGGCCGGCCTTGTCAAACAAGTTTTTTATAGCCCTGCTAACCCTGGCATTATGAGACAGGGAACCGATTTAGTGCTAAATCAGACATGCATGAAGAAGGATAAGCAGGTTCGGAACCCACGGTTTGACGTCAATGCTAATCAATACATGTGACAAACAATAGCATAGGTAAGATTTTACGACGAGGATATGTTTTGTTTCACCACCATATAGCTATTTGCTTTTGACGCTTTGGTCACTTTGAGTGCACATCGTCTGCAAGACAGAACCCCGGCGGCTAGCAGCGCTCGTACCGCCTGAGTGCTGGGTGGGCGTAGGGAAACTAGAATAATTTCGCTGGCACGATTTGCTTCCATGACACCAAATTTGTGAACGGAAGATAAGCATTGGTACTTAACGATGAAACAAAACTCTTCCGGACGCAACCTGTCGGCTTGTTTGGTTGACCTGACGATAAACGATCTGGTTCTCCCTGTGTCTTTCCTATTTTCTGTACATTTCAGGCTTGGTACGAACTTAGGTCCCCGTTTAATAAAGCTAGCGTGAAGACGTAGGTAGGGGTCATTGTAGCATGGATGTGCCAAAGGCTCTGGTGCAGGGGGTGCTGTAATGGCCTCGACTTGTCCGCCAGGTCGGGCCTCCAACGGGTTCAAGTTCACGGATCCGTGAAAGGTTGGCAGGTATGGGTGCACTACAGACGTTAAAAATGATCTCTCGATTAACCTTCCGATCCGCCAATACCCCGGGACGTCGTGCCCATTACTGGGTGAGGGGTCGATGAAGGGCTTCCTTCATGACCTGGCTGAGGTCCTTGCCCCTGTGTGTCGTGCTGTGACGTCCCACCTCTGCGCCGCAGGGCTCGGTCGGCTACTCCGTCAGGCCGCCGTTCCGGCATCATGTCTCGGTCCAGGATGGGCTCGGAGCACGCCGCTTACGTGGCCGACATGACGTCCCGCTACCGGCGCGACAACGAGCGGCGCCGCGAGTTCTCCGCCGAGTCCGACAGTGAGTGGCCCAGCCAACGGCGGCTGCGCGAGCCCCCAGCGCACAGGATGGGTCGACTGCCCCGGCGCGCTAGGGGGGGGGGGGGGGGGAGGGAGGGAAAGGTCCCGGCGCAGTGAATATGCTGGAGGCCCCGCGCAGCGGGTGAGCCAGAGGCCCCGGTGCATTGGGAGGGGGGGGAAGGCCCCGACGCAGTGAATATGCTGGAGGCCCGGCGCAGTGAGTGTGGCGGAGGTCCCGGCGCGGTGGGCGCGCTGGAAGCCCCGGCTTTCCCGTCCCGCCAGGGCCTCCAGCACATGATGATGCGGGGCGGGGAGTTGAGAATGCGCACCTTCTCGCTCGTCAGCGTAACGTGGAGTGCGAGATGCAGCCAGGTGATAATCAGAAAGATGCGGGTTCTATTACAGAATAACAGAGACGTTAAAGGCTTACAGGCACATGCGCACTAGGTGTTATGGCGATGGACTGAAGCTGCGAATCACTCACTATTAGCGAAGTGTAGGCGACATCGGTAACGCGGGATCACAATGGCTTGCCTTGCTGGACTTCATTGTGCTAATCTGTTTTGTTGGCTAGCGCATAATTAATCCCCCTCTCATGACCTCCGATACAGCGAACAGAAGGCAAACACGGTGAAATGGCGGGCGCGATGTAAAAAAGTAAAGCAATTTATTCTACCAGGTAACTATTCTGATATTCCAGATCACTACGCTGCCTATGATTATTCTGATGATGGTGAGCAGAAAGCAATATCTGGGTAGCCCCTAATGATAGACTGCATGTATCAGCACAAAATACAGACACCCGTACATCAGGCGTGCCGCGCAGCAGGCCAGTTATTCCATTACACATTTGCTGCAAATCGGTCCCTTAATGCGCCTCGTTATCAGCGCTCCCCAGTGATTCATCTCGCGCTGATGAGCCCTACCAGAACACCAGAAGTCGGGATTATTTTCTCAAGCCGAGAAGAATGAACCGTCTAGATATTTACGGCGAACCCTTTGCTTTGACAGACTTTAGGACCTCCCAGCGTCCGGTATCCATGAACTATGAGAGCCTCAGCGTCAGAGGTAACCATGGCGACCGGGCTGCAGCGACGTGAGGTCTCGCTGGTCTGCACAATGGAATGTTGCGCTGAAAGGCTCCGCACCGCTTGCTGTATCGGTTGTAATGGGATCTAGTAATCAAATCACATAGCTGTTTGGTGACAGGCACAAGCACGGTGGTTTCGGGCATGATATGGCATATACACGCGCAGTCGGCATGCAACTCACAACTTCGCAAAAGCATTTCTTTTGAGGCCCGCTACTGGCAGTTTTATATACTAACCGATTGGTCGTCATTTAAAGTCAGCCAATTTGTCGCTGAGGGTTGATGATCGAGTTTGCGAATGCGTTCTCTTCAACGAAGCGCCTGTCACGCTTCCAGCCCGTTTCGCTCGCCCTGCTAGGTCAGTCTCCAGAAACGCACTGAAAGTCTCGACGGCCAGCCTTCACGTGGCTGTGACCGCGTAGTTCCATCAACATGTAGTTGCACCGCGCACAAACTGGCATCAATAAGGGGTGTCCCTCGTTGATGCATTTTAAATGCATATGGTTTGGTAAAAGCTCTACCATTGACATGAAATGAATACTGCAGTTCGCCGTCAAATGCTGGTACGAGAATCTCAAGGTCTGCTTTCCTTTCCATGGTTTTAGTGTTGCACCACTTGATTTAAATTTTGAAAAGTAAAGCTATCATACGCTTGTGATATCTGTGAGCCCGCGGTACGTAAAGCAAGAGATCTACACAACCATCTACACTGCATATAACCACACGAAATATATTTACGTAGATATCTTACGTAGATATCTTACGCAAAGTAGGATATCTACACAACCACGCCTCGCCATTGCAACTCCGAATCCTCAGACATTCCCCAACGGCGGTCATGAAATAGGCTAACATTCCCTTTAATGCACTGCGCGTTGCACCACTTCATAGAGTTGCTGAAAGGGTAAGCTACCACGCACATGCGTTATACGTGGGCCAGTGGTATACTCTTTTCTATACGAAACGTAAGACATTTACATAAAACAGGGTGCGCCAGTTCGAGCCACACTCCTAGACCTTCTCCTCAGCTAGTTACTCCAATGGAACCCTTAATTCGTACAACCACCAAGTTCGTCACCTTCCTATCCGGGCCGCTGCAAACGGATGCTACCTCACCCATTTCCCCACGGGGCGGGTTGAGCGATGACAGCCGCTTCTGACGGTTCTAACGGTCTGACGGGCCGCCGCTGACAGACGGTTCTGTCTTGCAGACGATGTGCACTCCAAGAGACGAGAAACGAGTCTGACCCGCCAGACGGAGACGGTGACTGACGACCGCCAGATGACCTCTGACATGACCCCGAGGCGCGTGTCACGCTTCCTGCGCTGGTGTTAGAGGCCGAGCGATCCCGTCGGCCCTTCGAGCCGGTCCAGCGAGCTGTCAGGCTCTGGCGCGGGACTAAATTGGAGCACGGAAGCAGTACAAAAGGCACCAGTTGTGGCACAGGTCTCAAGGGTTAGAGTTAGGGTGAGGATGGGCTATGTAGAATAAATTGCCTTGCTTGTGAGGCAATGTAGTGTGTTTAGCTAAAGGTTATGGGAAAATGTGTTCTTTGATAGGTTAAGTCTGTGACGGTCTTCATTCTAAGCTGAAATGCACACCGATCTGAACTGAGTGATATCGATATTGAAGACACTGCATGCCGATGAGACCCAAAATCAGAACAATCCAGTTCTCCCGCTGCTTTGCGATCGAGGGTCTGGCTGCCAAGCTGATTGAGTCAATTCAGAATCGTGATGTCGGCATGTCACCACTGTAATTAGGTGCGTGATCACAGAACCAACCTTGAATGAAACGCCGAGTGGCAGAACAATAAAATACGCACCGCTCCACTTTTTGTGTACCTTCTGCTATTTTGAAAATCTCTGCAGACAGAAATCTCCTCGCAAAATCAGTAATTATGTATGACCATAGCATAGCTTTGTGAACACATAGCTTTGTAAACACTAAGTACGACTACGACGCAAGACCCTGCGACGACAGCTGAACAGTAACGGGCTTCTCCCTTAGACAGCGGGATGAACTTCATTCACCGCGGACTGACGTGTCCAGGCTGACAACGGCGACGTGCAGCAGCTCATGTGACTCCATCAGCACCGCATACATTCAGCCTGTGTAGACCAGCGACGGTGCAATGTCGCGCATCGTGATAGACTTGGACTCCCCTACAGTGGGTGTGACGGGGAGGGGGAACGGGAAGTTACATTCTTTCCGGGATCGAGCCTTACGCATCTGACGTCGCATGGGCATCCAATGGGCACTTGTGGACAACGGAACATGTGACCGTGAACATGATCATATGCCATGTTAGGTCAACCATGTGAAGGCGATTACCGCATTGGCTCTTTGGGCTGTGTTAAGAACTAAAGCCACATCAATGCGGAGCATGCGGTCAGAAATACTTTTATAATTTTGTTGCAAGTTATAATTAATCTAACATGAAGCTAAAATCATCAAGTCTTGGATGGCATTAATATTGAGCCTTGAAATCTGGTCGCAATGGTTAGAGTGGTCCAAGACTGGCTTTTAATGGCTAATGTTAAAACAAGAAAGGTCATATCATGCAAGAAATAAGCGCTATATCTTGCTCTTAAGTAAGAGGTTACCGACAAACCCCAAGAGAGAGAAAACATGAGCCGTCAGAGTGAGCATTTTACCTGTTAACAGGACGTTTAAAAATGTAAACTCAGGTGTCCAAGGTTTCATCACAATGCTCGAGATCATTCATAAACTACTCTGGAAATCCTTCGGGTCTCTGAGCCCTTCCCCTTCCCTCCCCACGCAATGTCAAGGTTTAAAGCCATTGATGTTCACCGCTTCTCCAACATTTGACGCGCAACAGAGCCAATAGCAGTAAAACCATGCACGTAATGTGTATTCACTAAAAGATTATCCTAGAAATCACATTAATGTGTTGTGATTGAAATAATATCGATAGAAGCATTGTGATCACAAAGCTTTGGAAAAGTTTTTCATGAAAATGACACCTATTTTTCAAGTGGTGCTACCGAGATCCGTTTCGCTTCAAACAACCTACTTGTGGCAGGCAAACATATATAGCTCGTTAACGTGCTTTAGATAGTGTGCATTCAGAATTTTCAGCACGCCTATAAAATTTTGCGATGCCTCAGGAAGCCAGAAGACGCAGCGTCAGTAATCATTTTGCAGCAAAAAAAAAAAACACATTACGAGAAATCACGCAGCTGTTAGGACGTTATATACTAGCTCACGTCTATACATGTGACCAGTGTTAACAAAGACGTGGTGCACCAAAGACTGTCAACATTTTGTCCCCTTTCTGTACAGCTTGTTTGCGTTAAATAAAACTGTGGTGATATGAAACCTGTGCTGGGAGCCACCCGAAATTCACATTTGCCTACACAGTAGCCGTAATAGCTCGCGTTGCCTGTGAAAAAGTGTGGTTATTTTGGTCTTAAAGGGTTTGGTTTTAATTTTGAAGTAAAACGACTCAGGACGTATGACGTACAATGCTTCGGTGGAGCGAACATCAACCTGAGTGCAGCCTGTGCAGTCATTTATGGCTGAGCCTGTCTTAAGCCATTGCCAATCCGGAGCGATCACACACCGTCATTTTCTCTATATACAATGCGGAGCGCATTTTGTGCTGATTTGGAGGAGGCGTAACTGATTTGAGAGGGCACCCACCCGCGAGTCCGTGGCATTCCACGTGTGCGGAGCGTCGGTTCGGGTTAAACCTGCTTCCCGGTCGGGAGTTTCATCGTCTCCCGTGGCGGTTGGCGCCAGAGATGTCCACTCGACACATCCACATATTTGAATGCATGTTAATTTCTCCCCTCGCCCTAGTAAACCACGCTGAATTTTGCTAGGTCTGACAACTGTATGACCACCCAACAATGCCGCTACTGTTGTGCACATTGAGCGATGGCGCTTCCAAGCGAAGCCAAGCCGTTCTTTCCACACAACAATGCCCCTTCTGTTGTGCATATTGTCATATATATATATATATATATATATATATATATATATATATATATATATATATGCATATAATATTGTGCAGATTGGCATATCATAGAATACACCTGGCAAATAAATGAAAGATGTGTCTAGGAATTGTGCTAAATTCGTCTGTGCAGAATGCTGCTCACAAATCCCACCATTATCATTCTGATATCTGACCTACACACCCAGACAACCGGCAGGGGCGATGAGGGGAACACAAAAATCGTTCTCACATGAACGGACCACAATTTTCCAGGCGCTTATATTGTTGTGTGTAATTGTTCGAAGGTGCACCATGGAGCTATGATGAGGAGAATCATAATTCATATATAAATCATGAGTCGCAAGATGACGATCTTGGGATCCGGACACGCACTTCCGTAGTCGGGCTCGATCCTGCCGTTCATCCGAATCCTGTGGCCACAGATTATGTGGCTCCGGCAAACCCACCTCTTGACGGGATTGCATCTAAATTGGAAACGGCGGGTGGCAATACTTCTTCGGTAAGCCGTATGCAACCGATTACCTATTTCTGCCACACCCTCCAGAGCGGAGTTCCACTGTAAATAGCTGTCGGTGATTTTGCGCAAACTCCTGCTTGTTGCCTTGTGGCTCAGGCTAAATTATCGATGACAAGTAAGCAACTCTTTTCTGTGTTTATGGCGATTGGTTTGCACCGCCGCACTCGCCGCAATAGCGTTGCGCCGCGCAAACGTTTCCTGTTTTTCGACTCATTTTATCCGATTCTTTTTAGCATTGCATGGTAGCACTTGCTGAATTCAACAAAAGAGTATGTTTTCACTTTCCTGGCCTGTTGGGAACACAGATCTACACTCACTGCCCCTCACCGGGCTCCGGTCTGGTTTACTGTGAGCCGCTGTCGAATTAAACGCGTGCGACTCCAGGCGTGCTTAGCCAGCACACAAGACGTGAGTTTGTTCCTGCTTCAGGCCAGATTGGACACAATAATGTAACTCCAGACCAGCTGTTTGTTTCTCCTCATGTTGACCTCCAGCACCACTTTATCTAATGGTTTTGCCCGTGACTCGGAGCGCACGACACTCATCTACGCGACTCGTGAAGGACGACAGGTACGTAGGTCGATTAACGCGCATTTGTCATTCAGACATTGCTCCAGAATTCCGTAAAATGTGTATGAAACTGGCTTAGCGATTTAAAATGAATGGCTTCAAGGCTACGGTGACAGCTCCCGACCCAGTGAGCTGATTGCGCCCGGTCGCCCGATATGAAACAGTTGGCTCATGGCCTAGCGCCGTGCGTGATCCGCCGATTTCAAATTCGAATTGCGACCGCTTTAGAAAAGATCCCATTGATTTTCGGCAAAAAATGGCGGCACATGCTAAAGCGTTTCAAAGAAAATCGTGGGTGTCATTCATTCTTTATAGCGCATTAGGTTAAAGGCTCAACTAGGTCATTATATGTACCTAATTTAATTTGAATATTAAATTGACCTATGTTTCAGAACAATGCAGGCGTTTAATTTTCTGTTGAACCTTTCTCAAACATTACACTCTGTAAACTGTTTCCACTAAAGCAAGTTGGACAGTTGAGTTCGTGACGTAACTGCGTAATTTCATCTGCTCGTAATTATCTTATCGGCACGCCGTATGGGTCTAAGACTTGTAGAAACCTCACCAGCATTGTCTTGTAGTTAAATGTACTTATTTTGAGTTATGATTGCACATCTGCAACGGGCAACATCGCGTCCGTTCAGAGTGATTCACAACTGCCCCGTCTTGAGGCCGACCACCTTCTGCGACCAAGGACACGCTTAACACCTGCCGTCGTATTCATGCATACTGCTTGCTGAAGTCAGTTTTGGAGATGATGATTCAGGTATTGAAAAGTCGGAAAATTTTTGTCTCACGTCTTTGCGTGGCATAGTACACGCCTTCTTAAACTGTAGCAGAAATTCAACTTATGGCTCGCGGGCTTGCCTCTGGTGCCGGTCGACATTACAGACGCGTGTCAAGGCCCCACGTGACCGGAACCGAGTGCGACCTTGCCATCGACGCCGCCGAGCCCACTGTCAAAGCGCCGGCCCGGACAATGGCGTCTAGCCATATACAGCACGATTGGTATTCCTGCCCGAGTGCGAGGGCGATCGGGGGAGGGGACTGGAACCAGTTCCCGGGCCCCGGTGCAGGCGCGCCGGCGGCGGCCATGTGGCCCGGCCCGTCCCAGCGCGCGGCCACCGGCGCCTGTGTGCAGACGCTCCCGGTGCCGGCCGGAGCCGAGTGTGGGCGCACCGCGACGCTGCGGCAGCGCCGCTGATGGCGTGACGAGCTGGGCCGCGCTCACACTCGGCGGTACCAGCGCTCAGCGGCGCCATGTACCGGTACCGGCGGTACAAGGCCGCCGTGTCCCCATTCACCGACAACGACAAGCGTAAGTTGCCGGCGGCGCAGGCTGCGCGGCCGCCCACGCGCCGCCCGCGCGGACGGGGTGAGGTGCGTTCGGCTCGCTCTCGCAACAGCGTCCGCCGCGGCTCTGGCGTGGTCGTGTGCCTCTCTGGGACGGGCCTGCTGCGGGAGAGCGGGCCGCAGCGTCCGCCGCTGATGCTATTCAGCGCGCTTCGTCCCGATCGTTGTTATGATTTATGGAGACGAGACGCAATTGTATTCAGAAGAATTTGCATGGGCATGCACATCGTTCTGATAGGAGCAGTTTTGTGTGTAATGCTCAAGCATTCCGTGATCCGATAGCTGACCTGAGTCGCAGAAGGCAGTGACCGCGGCCTCAGAATCCCACCTGCCTCTGATCACCAACGCGCGACCTTGACCGGAATGATTTCCGAGGCACCTGTGGGCTTTTCGCTGTACAGCTGCCGTCCATACGTCCCATGAACACTGGTTCTGTTGATACCGACCATCCACATTATTGACATGCATACTGGTGTCGTGATCTCGTGTGTTCCTCACCTGTATACGCCGAGCCGTCCCAGCCAGCTGTGTAAAGCTCATCTGGAGGCGCGCGACAGCGAGCCACGGGAGTAAAAGTAGTCGGGCTTGTAACGTACAAGCGTTATGACGGTCAGAACACGTGGAAACCGACACCCTCCGGAATTTGAACGAAAACGTGCTACGGGTGCTTGCGCAGTACCCCTGCATTTCAGTCAACGAGATATGTTGTCATTGAGTGCGGTCCGGACTGGGAGGTGGGCGCGTATGACATAAATACACCAATAACGACCAGCTGCTCTGCGATCACAAAGCTCTAAATTCATGCAGTGTTTTGTTCAGCGACGCTATTTTGACACCATCCTCTCAAAATGCAGGAAACAACTCAAGGCTATGTGAGCAGCAACTATGACGTTATTTCCATTATGCTGCCGTGGTCAGCGGTGAGAAACCGGTTTTGGTCGACTTCATGCATAAATAATGCATGGAGAGACGGGCACAATGCAGCATCACATTTTTAGGCGGCACATTCTGACTCAACAGGATTAATGTGATTAAAGCAGTTATTTCATCACCAATGTTAGCCATGAGTAGGCTGAGCTGAAGGCAGCACAGATGTTTGCTCTTGGCTGGACGTGCAATTGCCTTCAAGCTGCAGGGATACGAGCCTACGACTGAGCTCCAATCAAGTCCATTGGTCCAAAGTGACTGGTGATTGCCCATGCGCACTAGTGACGTCGAGAATCAACCAAGAATAAACCAGCTACGGAATATCGAACATCGTTGTCACGCGAACTACATAAAACATTCATGAAAGCGGCGTTTCCCTACACAAAACATTAACCACAGCAACAATAGTCAGGACACCAAGGGCGTTGTCTCAACACAAGCGTGGCATTCCTTACTTGAGCCGGCATTCTCTTGAGCTGCCGGCAAAACAAAATGTCTCACGTTTTTCTGGTCTTCTCTTTTCTCAGGTCACGACGCAGCGCATTACCTGACCTAAGGGATTACACCCCACCCAGGTGTCTCAACTGTTGCCCATGCCTGACCTGACATTTAACCTTACTCTAATGGACACCTCCCAGGTGCCATATGTGCCTCTCCTAAGCTTAGCTCTGACGTGACCGTTACATTCCCAATATGACCCGCGACATACCTCCAGCCGGTAGCTCCCAGCTGCCGCATGTTTAGCCCCTGACCTGCCTTCTCAGCTCTCTCCATGCAGTGGCTTCCTTGTGCCGCTCGAGGAAGCCCTTAAACTGGCCTCACCCCTCCCCAGTCGGTGATCCCTAGGTGCCGCTCGGGGCAAGCTCTAACCTGACCTCTGCCTTCTTCCGCAGCCGGCAGCTCCCAGCTGCCGCACGTGGAGCGGGTGGAGTTCTACGCGCCGCAGAACGCGCGCGAGCACCACACCCTGCGCTATGAGGTGGTGCAGGACCGGTACCGGGCCGATCCCGTGCTGCGGCGCGGTCAGCCCTTCTACATGGCCATTCGACTGGGGCGCCCGCTCGACTTTGCCCGCGAGCGCATGTACGTCGTGCTCAAGTATGGTGAGTACCGGGCGCCACGCGAGACGTCGGAGTACCAGCGGGGATGATGCAGTCGGCAGTACCGAGTGGGTTTGGGTGCAGTCGGCAGTACCGAGCGGGTTTGGGTGCAGTCGGCAGTACCGAGCGGGGATGGCACGGTCGGCAGTACCGAGCGGGTTTGAGTGCAGTCGGGGGTACCGAGCGGAGATGGTGCAGTCGACAGTACCGAGAGGGTTTGAGTGCGGCCGGCAGTACCGAGCGGGGTTGGTGCAGTCGGCAGTACCGAGCGGGTATGAGTGCAGTCGGCAGTAATGAGCGGGGATGGTGCAGTCGGTAGTACCGAGCGGGTTTGAGTGCAGTCGGCAGTACCGAGCGGGGTTGAGCACGGTTGTGATGCCGGTGTTGGGGTCTGAAGTGAAGAGTACGAACGAGCGAGCTTCGAAGTAAATCTAACAGCAATGTTCTGATGCATGCACATATTGCCAGTAGCACGGGAAGTGTTAACTTCTGTGGCCATAGCGGTTCAGGTAAAAACAGGACCCTGGACACAAGTTTTCATGCGATTCGTTAAAGCACTCGCTGCAGGCGCGCGTCAAGCCGGGCGTCCTGCGGTGCAGTAATGCCGTACCAAGTCTATCGCCGTGAATCGCGCCGCCTGACCTTCTGAGACCACCTCGGCCGACGCTGGGTGCACGCCGGCAGGCCCGCGGCGGCATAATCAGCGGTCTGTGTAATTGACCGGACAGTGCACGAGTTCACCTGCACAGCCCTTCCAAGGTCACGATAAGCGTAATGGGTCATTAAGCCGGACGGCCAGATGCCTGAAGAGATACGGTAGCATGGTTGAACGGAATTGGCCGCCTGACTCAGGTCCAACCGCGGACGGCGGCTCCGAATGTTCCACCCCAGGGTGACGGCAGCTGTCACCAGCGCTGGGCGTCACTGGTGCCATGCCAAGACCACCCACTGTCAGCGGCACTCTCACAGACACTATCGCAATCACGTGCGGCGTCAAGTCTAGTACAACCATCCATCAATGTATCCATCAACCATCAATATTAACGCCAATATCAGTATCAATAGCAACATTAGCACCAACATCATCGTCAGGGTCGCCGGTATCGGTATCAAAATATGCAGTTGGACTACCCCCAGTGTTATTATTTGAGGAGAAAACTTCGCTAGTGCATGCACGTCGGCCTTAACTTCCAGAAAGATCTTGATGCTAAAAGTTAGGAACCTTTCAGTAGCAACAATAAAGTCTGACTTATCACCATCGTCAGCTGCATAATCATGGCTTACGCTTCCCGCACGTCTCAGCTGGGGTCCGCGCTGCTGCGGCAGCCCCGCTGGCGGCTGTCGCTTCAGGAGGTCCACGATCGGTGGTGGCGCTGGCTGGCGGGTGTCGCTTCAGTAGGCCCGCGACCGATGGTGACGCTGACTGACGGCTGTCGCTTCAGTAGGCCCATGGCTGGTGGTCACGCTGGCTGACGGCTGGTGGTGACGCTGGCTGATGATTGGTGGTGACGCTGGCCCACGGCCGATGATGACGCTGGCTCACGGCTGGTGGTAACACTGGCTGATGGCTGGTGGCGACGCTGGCTGCTGATGGCTGAAAGTGACGCTGATTGAGACTCCTGGTGACGCTGGCTGACGGCTGGTGGTGGCGCTGGCTGATGACTGGTGGTGACGCTGGCTCACGGCCGATGATGACGCTGGCTCAAGGCTGTTGTGTTGGCAGGACCGCGGCCGGTGGTGACGCTGGGCACCAAGGTGTACCTGCCCGTCGGAAAGAAGGAGTTTACCAAGGAGAAGCAGCATTGGGACTGTCGCGTGCACGGGGACGATGGCGCCACCGTGGTCCTGCAGGTACAGCTAACGGGCCGGGACACCTCATAACCAGTATGCCCGTGGTTGACTCATTGTTTTAAATTCAATCACGATCAACTTCGACCTTCATTCTGGCATATCGCGGTAGTTTAAGTTAGGCGAGATTTGTGTTTAAGATGGTGTCTCAGGACGTGGAACTGTCTGGCCTGTTCCTCCACATTGGATTTTCTGACTGCTTGCAACTTTCAAAATGTAATTGATTTCTCCGTGTTATTATCCACGACGTTGAACCAAAAATGAGCTACATAGACCACTGAACTAGCCGAACCATGTATGACGAATCATCATTTTGTTAGAGTTGCAGAGTAACAAATCTTGACACCAGACGCGTTCTTTGACCGGCAGATCCAGATCCCTTTCGACTGCCTGGTCGGTGACTGGAGCTTCAGCATCCAGACGATCGGGGCCGAGAGCGTCGGGCGCCGTCGGGCCGAGTACAAGTGCCGAGAGAATGTCTACATCCTCTTCAACCCCTGGTGTCCCGGTCAGTGCCCTCCTCAACACACGGTGTTGTGCTGCTGCCGTATAGTGTCCCGCCCAAGATGGCCGATGCCGACCCGAATACCGATGCCGGCCCGAATTATTGGTGAAGTGTAGAAGGATGTCTGCAGCTAGTGCTGAGAGTCGGACCTTCCAAATGTTAATTTCCAGTTTTCGATGCATCTGGCCGAAGAGATCTGGGGTCGAGTAATGATAGCGCTGTGACACTGTATTACTTTTTAAAAACTTACTCAGCTACCACTATTTCAGCATGTAAATTAAGCCTTTTTATCACGTTAACGATAACTCTGTCGGGAGCGGTGTGATAAGACCTTAGGATTTAGGCAAGTGATGTCATCAGGGATTCCACGTGCACTCAACCCAATTCTCCCATGAAATCTACCCTACCAATGATTTAATTTCATCTGTGTGAGGGCGTAGTCAGGATGGAGGAAAGGGATGCGGTATTAAACAAACTAAAGGTTTTATGCGCAGGAGCATATATTTGTTGGTAGGTTTAAGTTGGCACAATACATGAGTGGCCTTGGGGACATCGCAAAGTGTTAGATTGCAAATTGCGCGATAATGGTGCCAGAAATATCATTTTGTGGGGTACCTCTATCATCAAGTGTTCAAAATTGAATTGGACACCGAAAACATTAAAAAAGGACATAAGTTATCATACACAAAGTCAAAACGCAAACCATAACTATGCACAGGTTTAGGTTCCAGTGACGTGTGCAGTGTCTGACATAGGGTGATCCACTCCCAAGCACGTGTCCCTGTTTCCGCCCCTTGACATTGGGATGTTTGCAAACGCAAAATGGGATGCATTTAGTGTTCAAACAAAGCAAGGAAACACGACGGCACTTTTGCTTAATGAGGGGATTGAACGCACTTAGAATGTTAGTGTTACAGAAGATGGCAAGGATATCCTTCTCAAAGAAGTTCTCAAGCTGTTTATGACGCATGTGTGAATTTGTTGCAGAAATATCGGACTGAGCGTACTTTGCTTATTCGATTTTGGGCTCATCAACGTAGTTTTAAAGCTGCGCATGAGAGTATATTCGGGGGAGCTTGAGCTTGTCGACCTTCAGTGTATTTTGCGGTGGCTTAAAGGTTATGTTGTGCACATGCAGCCATTGTTTATTTCATTGGAAGCAAAAGGTGGCAGACTGTTGCGCTTCACAGTGCAGAACCACTGCAGGATACAGCATGAGACTGACTCCTAAATAAAAACTGCATAAAACGTCAAACATGAAGCACAGACGTAGCATCGCCACAACAATAGCACAATGGTGTCCTCACCAGCTCGCTTGCACATTATTCGACGCCACAGAGCTTGCGGCCATTTGGTGGCCGCAGCAGATTTGAAATCAAATTCTCGACGGGTGACTGCTGGCGGCGCGTTTCAACCGACCAGGCCTCGGTCTGGTCCTGCCCAGCCACCGAGGTCTGGCGCAAGTCAGGGTCTGCTGTGGTCGTCTCCTGTCACCGAGTGACTGCTGTGGTCGTCTCCTGTCACCGAGTGACTGCTGTGGTCGTCTCCTGTCACCAAGTGACTGCTGTGGTCGTCTCCTGTCACCGAGTGACTGCTGTGGTCGTCTCCTGTCACCGAGTGACTGCTGTGGTCGTCTCCTGTCACCGAGTGACTGCTGTGGTCGTCTCCTGTCACCAAGTGACTGCTGTGGTCGTCTCCTGTCACCAAGTGACTGCTGTGGTCGTCTCCTGTCCCCGACTGGGCGTGGCCCGGTGACATGTGATGCATGTTTTTTGGCCACGAGATCGCTCTCGTGGTTCTTTCACATTCGTTGCGTCAGTAAACAGCCTCATAAGACAATGCGCTTGATGATGGCCGAACCTTGCATGCCTACAACCGATGCGACGTGATACCCAGGCCTTGTTTCTACAAGTCCGCGATGCACCGCGATATCCTGAGGCTCAGCAGCACTCGGTTGCCAAAGCATGATGGAGGATAGCCAGCAGCAAACTCCACTCCCGGATCCCAGATACACACGGGTAGTTTTACCGGGATTTTTCGGTGTTCGTCCCCTGGGTGTCCTGAAACGACAGCTGCATGTATCAGGGTCATTTGACTCTGATTCGGGCCTTGTTTGTTTAACAAATTGGCGGCCGACAGGCAAGGAAGCTCGTCTGTCCGTGCACCCTGGTCGAGGCGTTATTTCTCAGAAATGGACAGCTGAGAAGCGATCTGTTGTTGAGACATGTCGTGGCACGGTCGTGGTGCTGCTTTGTCTTAGACTTAAGGTCACAGGGAACGTGGTTTCGCGAGGCGCTTAATCTTCTGAAGCACTCAGACATTGGTTCTCAGAGCATTCGTCTCAGTTTGCTTGCTCCGGCAGCTCAGTGTCAGCCCTCATTGCTCAGTAGGCTGGAGCGCCTGTTCTCCAAAGCATCCACCCTGGACGCTGAGGGTTCGAGTCGCTTCAGGCGCGCGCTATTTGCTTCTGACTGGGATGGCCTGTGAGCGATGGCAGCTGCCGCTGTAAAGGTTATGTGACGTCGGGGACAGGACGGGCGTGCCGAGTATTGCCGCGCGTTAAGCTTTCCCCATCAAATTCCACCGTTGACTCGGAATTTCACGATCGGTAGATAGGTAATCGGTTTTCACTGGAGGGGCAGAACTCCCGCAACAAGCACTGCTTGACGTGGGTGCTGATGCCTGAAACCCACCCAACCAAAAAGACTTGTACTAAATCCCTTAAAAAACTGTCCCCACTTATCTTTTTCTCTTCAGGCTGTTAGTCTCATTCCCAAAAAATCACGTTGTGTGACTGGAAGCAGAGGTAAAATCAAATTCCAAGCACATACTGTAAAAACAAGCTTGGAAACACATAAAATCATAAAAGATATATCGTAAGCTTAAATGACTTCCTGTAGCAATCCTTGTATGAACATGACTCAATTCACATTTTGGATACACGATACAAGTGAATACTGGACGACAGGTGCAATTATCACTTCTTTGTTCAGGAGTCCTTACGATTTTGTTCTGAATTGGCGGGAGGCTTTGGAACTTGACACCTACGGCATGGGTAATTACCCGGGTATCTGTTGTTGCAGATTTCTATGGACAATTTGCTATGGACGATTACGTACATGCCAAAAGGTTCTGAGTTCGGAAGCTCTTCAGAGCTACACAGCGTATGATAAGAAAAATGACCGAGGCCGACATGGTCTGACCTAACTGCACAGTGATACAGAATTGTGTCGAAGTTTGAAGCTTGAGCCTTTTTTCAAATTTCATAAGCGTTAAAGATAACACTGGGCAGCATACTCCCCAAACAGAAGATTGATCTGAGTCGCTTTTGGTCAGTGACCTACTCGTACCTTTAAGATGTCCATGGAAGTGTCTGTTTCGGTTCCTGTTCTCAAATATCCAAGTGGACATTAGGAACTTGCCCATAGAGCGAGCTCTAATAAAAAAGCAAATTACCTTTGAGCTCGGTCTGACTTTCCTTTCTGGCCCAAGGTCAAAACAATTTGTCGTAATCCTGAATTCAACGATATACCTGCCTATGAGGTTGTCTCAGAGATGTATGGCATCACCTAACACTCTGTTGTCGCGTCAGATGGAGCAATGCCCTATAAATAGCCCACGCTGTCAACTATTGCCCGACTTTAATCTGCCATAGGTCAGCCACCTTACAAGGTACATCGAATTTTATTAAACTAAAAGTTATCTTATTAAACTAGCTGCAGCTAAGCAAAGCCTGGCGCAAATATATGGCACCTTTCGAAAGTATTCTTGAAAAACCTTCGTGGGTCAAACTGACCACGAGCTGAAAGCCTGTTAAACGTCGTTGGGCTTTTTCCATTGCCTTGGAGCTGTATAAGATGTCTGAAATGTCTCAGCTTGCACACCAAACCTGACAGGCAAGCCCAGGGCTTTCGGTACAGCACAATGCACCAGTTTGTTCAGAGCTTCTTCTTAACATATCGTGGCATTGTGTTCACTGCTTATAACATATGCCATACATTCATAATAGTGCATACTCTACATTTTATATAGAAAAATCACCCACACAGCCTATCTGAACTAAGGAATGCATTTTTTCACTTTATTTATCTACTGTCCTTATCTCCATCTCCCTCTCTCACTCTTCATTCCATCCATTGATTCGTCTCCCAAGTATCACATGTGAATGGCCAACGGAAGCATAACGTACCTATAACGTACCCGTGTACCTATGCTATGGATGAGTTATCTCCCGTTATCGACGCTTCATTCGTCCCAAACCGGCGAAGCGTTGGCTTCTTAGTTATTCTACAATCAGCTGGCTGCCGTGACCTTGCCGTGACCTTGCCGCCCGCCCAGGGTCGCCAGGCGTCGTTACCAGGTCGTTAGTAGATCCCAGCCCGCCTCCACGGCAGGAGAACGCCCGTGAACCAGCGAACAAGCACGGACGTAAACAGCGCAGCGCCGTTAAGGCCCACCGCTGAGTCGGACACAAAGCAACTTCACCCTCGCCTCCCGGAAGACGTCTGTGTATTTAACCGGGGACTGTGAAAGTGAAAACAGTCGGCACTCGGCAAAGTGGCTAGCTGGTGGGCCGTTTATATTTTGAAACGCAAACTTTGCTTTCCGTAATTCAGTCATTTCACGTCGAAGGCGTCGACAGATTTTCGGTGATCCTGGTTTAGTGCAGTACTACATTGCTTCCCTTTTGCATGGCGTCGTCTTGCATAGTTCCTTATGCAGTTGGTCGCCAGTGTTGCTGTCTGAACGATATACTTTCGCTTTCTCCCCGTGATGTCATCTATCTACGACCAAACGCCTTGGCGGTCAACGCAGCCCCCAAACTATTTGCTTCTGTCTCGCCCAGTGGTCAAGACTCACTCCCATTTACCAGCCGCAAGCACGACTGTCTGTCAGGGATCAATGTGACCATATGGACACCGCGCATATTGCTCACTTGAAAGAATGAGTATTTCTGCTTAGAACTGTTTTATGGAAATGCACGTTGCTTTTTGCGTTTCGTAATGCATGGCCCCACCACTGCCATAAAAACAAAGATAATGCTGTGCATGTCCTTCCATTAGTCTGCTGTGACAAGCAAATTTTGTTAATGTGGTGGGCACTTTCAAAGTCTTCAGACCACCGGTATAACTACAAAGTCAAACATTTTTTGTCTACCACTGGCGGACTCATGACCTTAAAGGTGTGGAAAAACACCTCGCTTTATGCAGGACGTTACAGTGCAAATAGTGCCGCTTGCCCATACAGCCCACTTTATGATGACTCTGGAAATACCCTGGGTTGGTGCTGGTTGTGGGATTGTGGGATATGTGTAGTTGGTTCGGTACATGCTTGTTGAAGCGTTAAGATATATACAGCTACAAGCCATAGCAACTGCCGCTCCGCCCTAACCTTCCGGTGCCTGACGCCGCCATTGCGGTTGATGCATTTGCCTGGATGTACCCTCGTTACCTCTTCTTTGGCTTTGCAATTTTGGCGCGCGTAATATCGAGCAATGATTGGGGACGACCTAACGGCCATGATGCCGGCAAACGTAGATCAATATCAGCATTGGAGCCAGCGTTGATTCTTGTAAGCGCTCTCAGGGCGCCTGTTAACCCAGCTACGCTGCGGCTGTTCTGTGATACATTTCGCGAGATAAAAAGCTTTAGAATGGCTTAGGACTTGAGCAACGTTATTAGTTTTCAACAGTAGGAAGTAATTTGCAGATGCATGCTTCTGAAGAGGTCACAATTATTCTGAACATGTCCCCACAAATCACGTCTCTAGCCGCTCATTAGCAATAAGGGGCGTCACAATTTTGCCAGACTGTGCCAAATTTATTTTAAAGAAATTACCCAGCAATGAGCGCTCTAATTTGAGTGATTTGGCGTAAAGACGGGAAAAACCAGGTTGGCCTCACACCCCACCGTATCTCCCTCCCCCTCCCCCTCCCCCACCCCAAACACGCACTGGTTAGGCGCCAAAGCATTGCTTGAAGCTGGTCGCGGAGGACTTTGTCTGGCCCTTGGAGAGCGCACACCGAGCTGGATAATGCACAGCCCGACCCGTTATGTGGCCGACGAGCGCGGCTCAGTCCCCCCCCCCCCCCCCCCGCCACTGGACCAAGTCCAGGTCACGGCTCAGTTCAGCCCCTAACACCAACCGCGTTTGAAGGTCCTCCAAGCTGCTGTCGCACAGCCAGTTTATTAGTCAGATGACAGCCATTAGTTCCTTAACGAGCAGATGAAAGGAAATGACGGTCTGGCGGTCATTCGTCAACACTCGGGGAGCTATAACAAACAGTGTGGTCGCGGCTCAGCTTTGCTTACTTCTTTTCCGTTGTTCAACAAAATGATCCGTCTCGATGACTTTACTTGATGAAATGCTCTCCAGGATGACAAAAAAGGGTCACGGTGTGGGCCATAGGTATTTACCGTAACAGCAAGCATCGACCGCTCTGGGGTTGTTAAAGCCACCTTATATATTGGGGTATACTCATGGGATTGGATGCATCCAATTGGTAATCAATCGCACTGCTCAACGCTACTCAGTTATTGTGAAGTCATATTTTGCCAGGTGATCGATGACGTCACATACCGAGAAAAAGACCTCACAAATCACCAGAATTCTCCGCACCATTTCAGAACTCTTTAGGATCGTTATCAATAACATCCAGCCTTGTAATTTGAGTACACAACTACATGCAGTGTTTTTGCACATCCAAATGCTGCCGTAGCATTAAAGGGACATTCCCTTGTGTAATGTGGAAATTTAGCCGTGCACATCCATGGCTGAGTAGGTGTACACGCCTGATATATGGAGCTCGTTTTTCGAAACTGTCTCCGTGGAGCTAAGGTACTGGTACTGCTCCAACAGCCAGTAGTAAGGAACTGCTCATTTTTTCACATGCCTACAGATTTTGCTCATTGTTCATCTCGTTTTCAAATCGTATTTTGTGTACATGGATTGCAATATTCCTCCACAATAAAAGTATCTTTAACCAGCTCGATTCCAAAGTGGCTTTATTGGTAGCAATGTGGTAGACGCCAGGCGGCACCAGCTTATTTTGATAGAAGACGACAGCCCTGTACCATCTCCACCTCCACTCAATCCACATCCGTGGAGATCACTCTAGCTGGTTGAAGATTAACGCGCAGTATGCTCAAACGATCAATGCACGCGGAAAAAGCTGCAGTGATTCAGTGCGGCAAATTCGAAGCTTCCCAGTCTGCTGACTTTAGTCTGATGAACGAAGGAACGAACGAACATGAAAATCGATGAAGTGATGAAGGTTTCGTGGCAAATGTTTTACGAATACCAAACTCGGCAGCTACAGAAACAGACGGAAGCGGAGAAAACACGAAACACGGGGTCGAAAGCTAGCAAAGGTACCCACCGTTTAGTCCACATCGTATGAACGTTTATTGCCGACTGACGGCATGTCAAGCAACATCACCTGCTCCCCGTAGAAGATGCTATGAAAGATGCCTGTGTTCATGTCAAAAGATGATTGGTGGTCATGTACACAATCAATATCACTTTTAAACACTTACACCAGCTAAGTCCTATTTTAGGCACCTCATATGAACATCGTGCAGCATGAACCTTGGTTTCTGCTTACACAAGTCCTCAACAGGCGTGCCTCAAGACGTCCTCTGCTAGCTCTCAACCGGAGAGCGCGTGCGAGCCGTAACTGGACGAGCGCCGTTCCACAGAGGACGCCTGCTACATGGAGGATGCCGCCGAACGCGACGAGTACGTCACCAGCGACACGGGCAAGATCTTCGTGGGCGCGCATCGTCGCTACCGCGGCCGTCACTGGGTGTTCGGCCAGCACGACAACATGGTGCTGCCGGCCGCGCAGCTGATCCTGGAGCGCTCCGGCCTCAGTCACGCCGAACGCGGCAGCCCGGCCAAGGTCGTGCGCGCCCTCACCGGTACCGTAAGTGAAACGAAAGTACATCTGATGGCCACCACACGGCGCTACCAGTGCAGAATGTAGCGGTTGAGTCCGTACGTGCGTTTGCAGTTGGAAATCAGTATTTTATACGGCCTTGGGCGGGCAACAGGACAGTTTTTATTTTTACGACTTTAATCACAGCTCTTAGGATAAAATCGTGACGGCCTGTCGCCTTAGATCGGCTGCAGGTTTCCTATGACCTGGCTGTCAGCATTCATTGACGTTAAGATATCGAGTATGCTTGCAGCTGCTGAGTCTTGCCTTACCTGCTCCCATCACCAGCCGCTGCTGAAGAAACTCCTATTGAGCTGCTTCCTGTTGTCAATTATTAGCTATCGATGTGCTCGAAGCACCACCAATCATCGCTCAGCACGCCATGGCCGCCTGATTCAGCTCCTCTTCAGAGCGTTCTGCCGACCTCAGCAGCCGCCCGTGACCTGTTCCAGCTGCACTCGGAGAACCACGGCGGCGTGCTGCAGGCGCGCTGGGACGGCCAATACGAGGACGGCGTCTCACCCTGGACCTGGACCGGCAGCGTCAGGATCCTGGAGCAGTATCTGCGCAGCGGCGGACGCACCGTCAAGTACGGCCAGTGCTGGGTCTTCTCCGGCCTGCTAACCACCGGTGAGCGTCCTGCGAACCTCGCTGCTGCTGATGGTGTTGCTCTGGATAGGGGTCATTACTGCTGATGGTCGCACTCTGGATAGGGCCGATTACTGCTGCCGGTCACACTCTGGATAGAGGCGATTACTGCTGGTGAGCCTACTATGGATAGAAAGCAGAAGTATTGCTGACGATGGTGGCCCTCTGGATTGGGATGATTGCCAATGTTGAAGATGGTGATCATCATAATGACATAATGATGATGGTGATGTTAGTCATGATGGTGGCGATTACGCTGGTGATTATTAGGGTTTTAAGGGTACTGGCTTCCGGGAGTTTTCAGGAAGGCCAGTGCCGTGCGCCACGCTGTACACATTGAACTTGTATCTTTATATGAGTTAATGCAGTTATTCATTTGGCGTCTTTCATCCTGTGTTGTTCTTGGGGTGTGAGCCCTGCATAGACAATTCCTGGAGGATCATTTTTACTGGCTGATGTATCACGGCGGTTGAGATGCAAGGATTGTACAGGGAAACGTAGTAAATTTCATGCCAGTCCCCATCGTATTTTTTCTTATTTTCACGTAGTCACGGGATAATTGTCTGCTAGGACAGTCATTTCCAGATATTCACAACACGTGCATTATTAGACTCACTGAGTTGTGTTCATTTGCCGGCTCATATGACGTAAGTGGGGGCCGTTCGATGCATCGCTATTGGCGCCAGCGAGCTATTCGGCAGCCCTGCAGCTCCTCCGCCGCTCTCTCCGGCCATGCCCACTGTGTCCGCATCAGCGAGCTATTCTGTGGCCCCAGAGCTCCTCCGCCGCTCTCTCCGGCCATGCCCACTGTGTCCGCATCAGCGAGCTATTCTGTGGCCCCAGAGCTCCTCCGCCGCTCTCTCCGGCCATGCCCCGGGGAACTGACCACACATGCTGGCCGGCAGTGTGCCGCGCGCTGGGCATCCCATGCCGCAGCGTCACCAACTTCGTCTCGGCTCACGACACGGACGGCACCCTCACCGTTGACAAGTTCTTCGACGCCTTCGGTGACGAGATCGAGGTGAGGGCCAATTACTGGGCGGCTGCGCTCACAGCCAATCCTATTCATGGGTAGGGCGCCGTCTGGCGATGGAAGGCAATCAGTTCGATGGCGTCAGAGGGCGTGGGCGTCGAGGGCAGCTCAGGCTGATACCCGCCGCCATGTGTGCAGGGGATCAGCACTGCAGATTATAGCGAGCGTATTCATGACGTTCGAGACATTATGCACTCCACGCGGCGGGTCTCCGTAAGTATGCGTGGATGTTGTGAATGCACGCCCATTTCGGGGACGAATGTTGCCTTTTTCTTCCTTCAATGCCTGTACCGTTTGTGTACCAAGGTACTCAGTGATCATGCGCCCGCACAAGTACTCCAGTTTCCATGGCGTCCCATGGTCTCTCGTGGTCTATGACTCCAAGCTCCCAGTGTTCCACTCACCAAGGCTGCCGCGAACCCCACTTCCCCGAATCGCGCTCACCCTCGGGTACGGCTGCGACACAAGCCAGTGGCAATAGCGGCGTGGATCCGGGAGCTGGAGGCGGCGGGGGCCACGACGGCCGGCCCGCCTCTGACGAGTTATAACGGTTCGTGTCCTGGCCACGGAGCCCAGCTGCTCCGCCGTGTGATGAGATGCGCGCCGTTCCCAGCACGGTCCCACGGGCGACTCCAACGATTCTCTCTGGAACTTCCACGTCTGGAACGACGCCTGGATGGCGCGGCCCGACTTGCCCCGCGGCTACGGCGGTTGGCAGGCGTGCGACGCCACCCCCCAGCAGGAGAGCGACAGTGAGTCGTTGCCAGCTGAGGTGGGGGGGGGGGGGGGAGAGAGGGGCAGGCAAGCGTTGCTGTTTTACACGCGTTTCAGTTTCTCGGCGGGTGTGCTGGACGCTGGCACTCAGCCATGCTGAATGTAGCAGCTTTTATAAACATCCACCCATCATGATCTCTATCCCTATATTTCCAACCATGATCTGCGAAAAAGATAAACAAGCTCAACTTCTACGGACATTAAATTACTGCGGTACTGTCGATGCTGCGGCACTGTTGACGTACTGCACTGCTGGTGCGGCCGCACGCTCGTTCACTCTCGAGGTGTTTCCTGGGATGCTACACGCACTCCGATTGCTCTTGGCGCCTGCTTCCACAGCAGCGTATAAGTGCAGACACACCTGGTCTCCGGCAAAATGTGCCTGTATCCGGGTATCTCAATATGCCCTATTGTATCCGAGTCGTCACCAAGACAACCTGTCGAGGCCGGCTGCGCCAGCGGCCTTCCTGGATCTCGGTGCCTTTGCACTCAACGAGTCGTGAAATTCGCCTTTTTGTGCTTGCTGACTGACTGCTATTGCTTTTGGAGATGAAAATGATGAAACGTTGTTTCTGAGAAGCGTGCTGTATGATGTAAACAAGAACGGCTGTGTGTGCTCTTTCGCCAAAATTTTAGGCGCTGTAATCACCTCTTTCCTTATTGTTACTTGTCAGACATGTTAAAAGGTTTGTAAAAGAAGGTGGTCCTTATATCATCTATTTGATTCACTCACACGCTGTCTCAAGCAGCAGAGAAAAGCACCTTAAACTGTCGTCACAAGACGTCATATAGTACTATTTCAACAAAGGCGGCGTCACATCCTCTACTAAGTAAGTGTGAAGCGGAGCGGTAAAGCACACGATCTACTTATATGACTGTTGCGATGCGAAATGGCTGTATCAGGGCCACAGCTTCGTCTCCTGCAACAGTAGGTCTGATATATATATATATATATATATACTGTTTGATGGATGTTTTGACAGCACTTAAACAACCCGAATAATTACTTGCCAGGTGCTATACTCAGCAGTGACAATGACAATGACTAGTTCCATTTACCTTTCAGAGGTATTCATTTTTTGCACACCTTTGACCACACCTATGTTTGACCACCATCTATCTTTGACCATCATCACCATGTTAATGACTAGGTAGTGGACACATGAAATATAATAACGTTGCGTAACAATTGTTGCAACTTAGTATGCATCTTGACGCTGTGGTATTCAGCTTGCGTTTTATTTACAATCGTGGTTGTCGGTGATGGATCATTACGATTTTCCCCGGAACGATGATGGTATGTGATCCAACTGTAGCCAGCAGCGAACTAGAGTGATCAGCTCAACATACAATTTGCATAAGAAGGCAATTCTTTTGCTGTGGAACGATTGGCAGAATGACACGCCAGTTCAACATTCCAAGCACGTCCTAACAGGGTGAAGCATGGCACTGGTGACTCCTCTGTTTTCTGGTAGCTAGCCACCCCCGGAACAAAGTCGCTAATGCCTCGTTATCGGCCGCTTCCGTCAAACACACAGATGTCAGCCGTTATCGTCAAATTCGGCCGTTTGCCGATGACTCCTTCCTGGCGAGCTTACTTGGAGGCTGGCGATCTCTTCGAAGAAAAGTTATCCTTTTCAATGATGGCTCATTCGCAGACAAGCTTACTTCGTGACTGACGATCGCTCCCAGACAGTTCATCTGCTGACTGACGACCTCCCCGCCTTTTAGCTCACCTGTTGAATGATGATCGCTCCCAAACAAGTTCATCTGTTGACTGAAAACCTCCACACCTTTAAGCTCCTTTGGGGATAAGTGAAGAGCACTCCCCTCCCATAGATAAGTTCACGTATGCCGAGACATCCATCACAAGTCCATCAGATGACTGATGACCAGCCCCAGACAAGATTCAATGGTGAGAGTGACCCCGCACTACACAGCTCGCCTAATGACCAATGACCCCTCCTTGAACAGTTCGCCTGGTGGCATGTTGATGCCAAGCTGAGCTGTTACCAGATGATTCATCTTCAAATCTTCTCACGTGATAACTGATAACCATCTGATAACTAATAACCATAACCAGCACTCATGGCGACGGAGGATCCGCACAGTTACCCCGGCCCGACAGACAAGTTCATCCAGTGATTGGCAACCATTCTTCAGACAACTTCCCCTGATGGCTGGTGCTCGATGCTTGCCTCCTAGACAGTTCGTCCGGTGGCTGATGCTCGATGCTCGCTTCCCAGACCGTTCGTCCGGTGGCTGATGCTCGATGCTTGCCTCCCAGACAGTTCGCCCGGTGGCTGATGCTCGATGCCCGCCTCCCAGACAGCTTA